CAGTCTTCCTCCATGAAACATATGGAGATCGCGCTATGAGTCAAACGGTGCCTTGCGTTGCCGAACGTGCTCCATATATGTGAACGCGCACAAACCCCAATGCAGTTAACACCGATTTAACAAATCAACTTCTTAACTGGCGTCGTAGTACTGATTAGCCCCGATGGAGTCAACATGATTTTGTTAACCTCGCTTTCGCAAATTACCTCGGGGTTAAGTCTGATTTGGATAAACCCCCTTCGTAGTACAGGCCACAGGAACCAACACACAACACTAACAACTACAATGACTGATGAGGGAATAGGGCAAGAGCAGGCACACAAATTCACCAATAATGAGATCTACATGAGGGCTGGTGCAATTAATTAAACACTAAGAATCATGTGTAACAAGCTACAAACGGGAGACAGGTGTGGGTAATAAGAACAAGAGCGGAGGAAACAGGATGGTTAGCAGAGACCCCTGCTGGCCAAACAGGAGCAGGACAGGACAGACAGAGACAGATCATGACAACTACAACAAAAACAGACACATGTAAAACAAATAATTTCAGCCTGGCATAATATCTCATTGGTGTCTGTATATCTCACTTCTTTGTCAATTATCTGTCTCAGTCAATCCCAACTTAGTGACTAATTCTTGAACTAAAAACTTAATTGATGTTTTTTTCTAAATGGTCAATTACCATTGCTGCATACATTCTAATTTGGTTGGTTTGTAATCAAACAAAAAAAATTGCAAGTTGTAATTCTGCACGCCTCTGACCTTGGTGGCCATGTGCCTGGAGCGCTATGTGGCTGTGTGTAAGCCCCTGAGGCACGCTGCCATCTCCACGCCGAGGATTAGAGTGGTGGGCCTGCTCCTCATTTGGGGGCTGGGCTGTGTACCTGCCCTCGTCATCCTCCTTTCCTTCGCAGCTCTGGTCTCAGCTGAGCGGCTCACCATGAGAGTCTTGTGCTCCGTGGATTCGTTGATTGTGATCGAGTGGCAGAAGTACCTCCAAATTGCTGTGTTCAAATTCTATTTCTTGGTCATGTCCATGGTCATCACCTTCACATACGTCAAGGTGGCTGCAGCTGCCCGCTCTGCCTCTGGTGAAAACAGGAAGTCGAGCACCAAAGGCACGAGGACAGTGGCTCTCCATGCCATCCAGCTCCTCCTTTGCCTCATACAGCTACTTACGCCTTTATTGGACATGGCTGTGTTACAGATCAGTGTGGTGATCTACATCTACAGTATATCCGTTTTGTTAATTTCATAATGTTTGTGATAGCGCCGCGTTGCCTGAGCTCATTGATCTATGGTTTGAGGGAGCAGAATTTCTTCCAAGCATTGAAACACTATGCTGTTTGTGGCCTGGATAAGAAGGTTCAACCAGCTGCTTCTCATTCCAGGAAGGTGGAATTGAGGCATTAATGTGAAGGAGGCCCTTGGAGACACATTGAGTGGACTGGAAAAGGCTGGATATATCAGTCATTTAATGGTTACATATGATACTATGCATTATTATTATTATTACTGTTGCTGTGTGGGGTGGCATGGTGGCATGGTGGCACAGTGGGTAGCACTGTTGCCTCACTCCTCTAGGACCAGCATTCAAGTATCTGCCATAGCTCTGTGTATAGAGTTTGCACTTTCTCCCTGTGTTGTTTGCTCCAGGTACTCTGACTTCCCACTCCCCCCCCAGTCCAAAAATGTGCTGAGGCTAATTGGACTGACCACATTACCCATAGGTGTGCAGGAGTGAGTAACTGGTACTGTATGTGTCCTGCAATGGCCCAGGACCCTGAGTAGGACAGGGTACAGAAAATGTATGTTGTTTTCATTATTATGGTCCCTTTATTATACAAGTTGTGTCCAGTCTTCATTTTGTACATCATAAAAAAAATGTTGAAAACTAAATTATGCTTTTTAATGGGTCTGAGTATGTGGATGTGGTTTAACTTTAAATTTCCACTCACGTTCAGGTTTTCTCTAATTTCTATCATAATACAATCAACTAAGATTCCATCAGCCCATCCGTCTTTTTACTGCTTTTTCAGTACAGGCAATCTCAGTTCTAGTTTTTCTCAATGGTGTTAGATGTTAGATTGAGGTCAGGGCTCAGTCAAGCTCTTCCATGCCAAACTCACCCATGATTTTATGGGCCATGCTTTGTGCACTGGGGCACAGTCATGCTGGAATAGAAAAGGGCCGCCTTTCTCAAACTGTGCCCACTAAGTTGAAAGCATAGAAATGTCCAAAATGCTTTGGTATGCTGAAGCATTAAGAGTTCTGTTCATTGGAAAATTACCATTATCCCACCTCCACCGAACTTTACAGTTGCTACAATTCAGTTAGGCAGGTAACGTTCTCCTGGCATCCGCCAAACCCAGATTCGTCCATCAGACTGCCTGACGGAGAAGCATAAGTCATCACTCTGCAGAACATGTTTCCACTGCTCCACAGTCCAGTGACAGCGTGCGTTACATCACGCCGACGCTTGGTATTGCACTTGGATATGTGAGGCTTGCATGCAGCTGCTCGATCATGGAAGCCAATTCCATGAAGCTTCCAGTGCACAGTTTTGTGCTGGAGTTAATGCCAGAGGAAGTTTGGAACTCTGCAGTCGTTGAGTCGACAGAGTGTTGGCAACTTTTACACACTATGCCTCTCAGCACTTGGTAACCCTGTTCTGTTACTTTACATGGTCTGCCATTTCATGGCTGAGTTTCTATTGGTCATAGACGCCTTCACTTTGCAATAATACCACTTACATTTGACCATGGAATATCTAGCAGGGAAGAAATTTCATACACCTGTGGCAATGGGTCTGAATGAAACACCTGAATTAAATTATTAAGACATGTGTCCCAATACTTGTGTCCATATAGTGTATTTTCCCAAAATAAAAATGACATAGATGCAACTTAAAGCACATTAACAGGTATTAGCCACTGCAGTCACAGTTATCACTTCTATAGCACTGCATGTGTAGGCAGCAGACTGTATGTGATGTTTCCATTAGGCCAAACCAAGGCTGCAACCAGGCCTGTTGTTCAGAAGGCCTCAGCACTGACTACATAAGAACATAAGAACATAAGAACTATACAAACGAGAGGAGGCCATTCGGCCCATCGAGCTCGCTTGGGGAGAACTTAACTAATAGCTCAGAGTTGTTAAAATCT